CTGAACACTTCATAAGCCAAGCACTAGGACCCTAATAGCAGACTGCTGGCTAGCCAAACCTGCCACAAAAATCAATTCCTGTATCCTATTCAGGAGGAAAAATAAAGGTAGAAAAAAGGAATTTAACTTTATTTAAAAAATAATAATACCAATTTCTTAGTCACTACAAAGCTTGAAAAAAAAATATCCTGAAAGTTTGTGAATCAGGAATCAAACAGAAAACATCCTTTGGACTTCTAGTTAGCGTACACACACCAGCAAACCACATAAGACTAGGGTAGTAGGTTCATCTTTAGTTGTCCTTCGCACAGAAGATACAATCCATGTCATAATAGGTCACCTCAGCCCAGATGATGGTAAATGCACATGACTTTGTGTATGTGGCCTTGGAATTTCCCAATTCAAATGTTCTTGAAATTAACAAAATTTTCATTCAGCGCTATCTTAGAGTTTATCCACACTAAGAGAAAGGAGCTGAGAGCAGAAGCAAAAATCAAACAATAGTCATATAAAAATTATTACAATTTGTTTCTTTTTGCTGTATGCATTCTTGAACAGCGTCCAAAACAATTTGTATATATACACATGTACATATGCATGCTGTTACAAATTTGCGCCTTTAGTAGGGACCACTTCTACAATGCTGCCAGGAGCTGCCAAAAAAAAAAAAAAAAAAAAGTAAGGAACACTTGTTTAAAGAAAAAGACTTGAGTGACAGTTTGTAGCAATTTAGACAAGGTTTGGAAAATATTTAGGCTAGCTAGTGAAAAAAGATTACAGAAGTGACAACTTTGTTTGCTGAGAGAGTAAAAACAACAATTTTTTTTAAAGACTAAAATAAAAAAAATCACACCCCTCATATATAACATAGGGAAAAAGAAAAGTGGAACCTTCTAGTACATTTAAGGATATTGTTTCGCTTATTTTCAACATATTGAAATGACCTCTATTGATAGTATCAGCCCATTCCAAGATCAGAGCAGCTGGGCAGTTAATAAGGAAGGAAACCCACAAGTATTTGATTAGAATCTGCTCTGGTTTGGGGAGAAACAGGTTATGTGTTTATAACAGGGGATGGCAGTGAAATACTTCTCATTCCAGCAGTAACTGGAAGGGATGTTAAGTTGCTGAAGTCTTCTGAGCCAAATGCCTTAATGGCACAACTAGAGGTGTGTTCTCCTGCAGCGGTCCTAATCATGAGGGTGCCAGCAGAAACCCCATGTTACAGCTTCCCTGCATAGTAGTAGGATGTTCATGTGGAAAGAGGGAGCTGAGTCCTGGACTAGATAGGACTAGGATTAAAATTGTCAATAGAAAAAAACATACATACAAAGTTGGTTTTTTTTTGTAAGTTGAGGCTGGAACACAGGACTTTTTTTTCCTCCTCCCTGTCACAGATCCCACTGCTGTGCATTCAGCTCTGGGGAGGCTAGCTGGGTGTTTTATGGCAGAACCCACGTCTCTGTGCTGAGCACCGCAGCACACTAATCTCTTTGTGGACTGAGTCCCCGATTAGCATTTGGCACCACTGCGGCTTCTCCTGGCATGGTTCTCTAGGGCTAACATCCACGTGGCAAGGAAGATGCTGGCAAAGCACAAGAAAGGACTCAGAGAAGAGCTGAGAAAGTGATGCAAGGCTGAGCTGGTATAAAAGCAGGCAACCCATTTATTTTACTAACATAAAAGGTTATGAAGTGAATTCAGGGTAGTCTAGAAATACTCTCATGGGAGAAAAAGAAATTGGGTACTACTGGGTCTGCCCGTTCTAACAGATGAAAGCTAGATGAAAAGGCTAGACAAATTCCTACCAGTAAAGAGGAACATGATTTTAACACCAGCAGTCAACAACCGTGGACAAAGAAGTCAAGGCTTGTGGAAGATCTCCATCATGGCCAATTTTTACACTAAGGATGATCCTTCCTCCCCAAAAGACATGCATGGGCCAAGCAGAAACTAGCTCATTCAACCAGCAGAGAGTATTGGAGAATTATTTACCTCAGCAAGAGCCTTTTACCTCAATACCTCTGACTGCTACCAGCACTGGATAATCAAAAGCATGCTAAGTACTTCAGCTATAATGAAGCCAATTTTGGGAGTAAAACTTTAGAGCAGCAAACCCAGCAAAATAGGGTCTGCCTAAGCTCAACATAAGAACATACACGTACTTCTGAACATCAATTTTTCTCTGCTGACGGACTGAAGGTATGCTTAGCTTTCAAAATGCTATGGGATACCAACCAGAGTCACTGCAAGACGCTGAAAAATTGGAGGGGGTCGGGCAGAGGGCTACCAAATGGATTAGAAGGCAGAAGTTGCTATACAAAGACTGAAAGAACTGATTTTGCTCAGCCAAGAGAACAGAAAGCTCCAAGGAAATTAATCAGTCTTCCAATATAAAGAAAGTAGTTATAAAGGAGATGCATGCACTCTCTACAGAAGGATATATGCCATATATACATGACACATATGCTATAATATCTGTTGTTTACCCACCAGCAGATTTTTTATACTACTTTCTGCTTCTTAAATGTGTGCTACTAGTTTCCTACCTGTGGAAAAAACAAAAAATCCTGCCAGAAAGAAAATGCACAATTCATGGCTAACAGCATTATGGATTTTTCTTCTGCTTTCCTGAGATGAACCAGTAGCCCTGAAATCATAATATATATATTTTTGTAAAATCTGAATGTATCTCCCAAATCATGGATTTACTCAACTTAACTCTGAATGATTTTTTTAAGCTTTCAAAACTCAGTCTACTACTATTTCCTCATCTCTGTGCTTTAGTGACTGAGCTCTGTGAAAGAACATTTCAGGCCTCACAAAATTCTTCTCTCCTCCCACCCCCAAAAGAAAAAGATTCAACAGCATGACCCTTTTAAATAACCATACCCTATTTCTGTTTTTTAGAAATTACACACACATCCTATACCAACCTGAGGTGCATCATTGACAAACTTGTTATTTCAATTTTTAATATAATCAGTATCGCTAACGCAATCCTTTGTTTGTGGTCCAGATTTCAAACACAAAGAACACAAAACAAACATTTTTCTGCTTACACTCCAAAGTATAAACAACAGTAATCTAAAAGAGTCCAGAGGGCACAATGAGCTGTGGTGCAGCACTCCATCCCTGCCACACATCCGTGAGAACGCGGTGTGCTCAGTACCTTCAGTAACTGCCAAAATATTCAGAACATTTCATACGTTTTGCAAAGAGGGAATAGAAAATTAATAACATTCTGGAAATTAAATATTCTTAACAAATTTACAAACCGCTCAAAGACTTCCACTCTTTCCAAATGAAACTGGAAGTTGCAGAAGAGATAAAAGACATGAATTGTACAACAGAGCCCATAATTTACTTCTTTTGATTCTGGAGACATACTGTGTCTAAAAAGTAACATCTCTGAAAGTACAGTTTCAGTTGTACCGAATTTTAATGGGCTAGAACGATAGGCAGGAAAATAAATAAATGTTCCCAAGAGCAACACCATACCAAAACATTTTAGGGAAGAAGCTGCCAACTTACTAATACATTTCTATGCCCTAAACAAAGCCCATAGGTCAACATGAAATAACATCCTCCTTGATTTATTCCACTACAATCATCAATAACATATTACTGAATTATTAAAATACTATATTGACTGATGACCATGGTTCTTGTTTAACATACAGCACAATTCAGCAGCCTCACCAACAAGCACACAACTAACCCAAATCAGGAGAAGAAAAGTAAAACCACTTATCTCACCATTTGAAAATTTCTATTGAAAACTACATCTTAGAACATCTATTGTTTTTCAGACTTCAGTTTCAATACTTCAGATAACATGGGTCTGCAGCTATGTCTGGAAATAAAATGCATCTCCCTGAATAACTTACAAAGCACAACTTTTGTAAAATCACTGCAGTTTTGAAGTTATGCTCTGAGACACAGTGTTTTTCGAATAAGGCTGAAGTAACTTGAATGCTTTTCTTGTTCTGCTGATATGTTTATAAAAATGCATTTACTTCTAAGCTTCAGTCCATTTTGATGTAAAAGTTAAAAGAATTCCATTTCCCTAAAATGACACAAAGATAGAAAAGAGCACGTATATGCTTTTCAAAATGAAATCTATTTTTTTCCTTAAAATAGAGATTTCTAGTAATGACAGCTAGGGTCACCACAGTACCACAATAAAAACTGTTGTACTTCACCATTTGAAAGTTCTTCTGCAGAACAGGGAGGAAAAAAAAAACAACTACTATTAGGATTTTTTTAAAAAAATATTTGTCTGAGCCATGTCCAGTAGTACAAGTATCAGAGTTTAGTTACAAGCCAAAACCCAACTGCAAACACCGGTGCATTCTCTAAATGCCATGGTGTCTGCAGCCAGCCTGTCCTCTTCAATCAGTGGGCCCAGCCAGGACGAGGCTGTAAAATTCCTATAAAAGGCTGAGAATTACAAAATTAGGACAAGTCCTACATCAGACTTGTTGGAAAGAGGACAATCTCTTTCCAACAAGAAAGGTAACCCAGCTGACCACAGGGTCAAGCATTCATGGGTCAAGCATTTTCGATGCTCAGTGCATTTTTGAGTAAAAGATAACACTGCTACCTGGAAAATTCCTTTGTCTGAGAAGTTAGTCTTTGATAAGGTGAGGAGAGCAGCGAGGTGTGAGCATATACACACAGAGCATATATACAGAGCTGAGTGGTAATGCACCTACTAGAAAATGGTTGCATCACATACTTTTTTGATCAATGTTAGTTTTAACACTGGTAAGCATTGTGTGGCTATATATTCTATCACTTCAGGTTGGTTTCAGCAAGACATTACATTACTGACATCCCCGTGATTAGAAAATGACTAATGATGAATTAAGTCTGTGGCAATTCAGAAATGAAGAGAGACATAAATTTATACAGCCAAGCCCCAGTTGAGAAACTTGTGGTCTCATTTACCAGGATATTCAGCGTGCAATTAATCATTAATTCCACAAAGCACCTACCTGCCAAACCAAGTGTTCCTTTACATCAGTTGTACCCGACAGACAGACGCTCAGCACAATCGTATGAGACGCAGAGGTCAAGACGCTGGCAACTATAGCGTCCCTCATGTTGAAGGGCAGCATGGTATACACCACGAAAATAATGAACAAGAAAAATGACACCTGTGCAAGACAGCAAGACAAAAAAAAAGCATGTCAAATTCACTCTTGAATAATATTTAAAAAGTAGCATTTCATTTTGAACATCATCGGCATAAAGTTACTTATCTTTTTTTCTTATAGGAAAGTTACTGTTAGCCACTGCAGAAAATTGATTTAGGAAGAATTAATTTAAGAAAGTATTGGAAAAATTGCATTATATTTAATTTAAGAAGTGCAGTTTCAAGACACCACTTACTGGTTCAAGAACTTCACAGTGCTCCAATTTATTTAACATTTCAAATTTAACTTTAAATTTATGTTTCCAAAGTTTAATTTTATTAACCACCCTGTAGCAGGGGAGCTACACTTAGAGTGTAGCTCCCCTGCGACTAGTGGTTTCTGACTGTAAGCTGCCTTACAAAACAATTCATTTGCCAAATCACTCCACTCCAGGGTCTAAGGAATTGCAATACAGAGAAATTTCATTCATCTTGATGTGCTAAAAATTTACAATTTAATAAAATGTTGGATTATACAAAAAGCCAAAATTGAGACAAGCATTTTGGTTTAGCAAGATTATACTTCATGTGCATATAGACGATGTATGTCAAATTCAATAAAAACACAACGTTTATTTGGACATGAAAAGTAACTTCAGACAATCACAGCCCATAAGCAGAATTTACAGTTAGCTTCCTAGAAAAAGATACTGGTATCCACACTGTAGGGAACAAACTCTCCAAATACACAACCCAAACTGTATCAGGAAAAGGTATTCCTTCATTACACATAGAAAAGATTATGTATTTGATGATATGTATACATTCCAAGGTCCACCACATATGGAAAAAGAATAAGTGGATTTAGGAGACAGATTTTGCGTACCATAGTCGACCGTTTTGGAAATGTGTCAGCCAGACTATCAGCTGACAGCACAAGGAAACAGAAACATTTGACATCTCTTCAGTTTCAGTTCTCCTTAAAGCTTTAACTGTGATCAGATACTAATGAAACTAACAGCAAAGAAAAAGAGCCTAAAAACCTGGTCTGGGTAAAAAGAGGATTATGTAAGCATGGTGTTTTCGAAGTATCCTGGCCTGGTAAAAATCATCTGGGATACTGAGAGAGCTAACCGATAATCTGAAAATTTGGGAAAGATGCAGAAAGTTCTGGCAGGCTGGAAGAAGGAAGCACAGAATATGCCTTTGAAAGGCTGGGAAAAAGAAAAGCTAAGGAATTAACAACTGGTCAGTTTAGCTTCAATTCCTGGAGCAGTAACAGACCAAATAATAAAACAATTCATAAGCACATATACTGAAAGTTACGACAAACATAAGTAACAGCAAATGTGATTTTGCTGAAAACAAATCATGTTAAAAGCAATCTCATTTTCTTCTATGTCACAAAAACAGGCAGCAGCGTAGGGGAACAGGCTGAATGAGTTAGGTGGTAAGAATGGAAGTGAAAGATCCAGTAATATAGACTTAACATGGCTGGATACCAGAGGGAAAAAAACCTTACAGGCATATAAGACCCACTGCCTCAGACATGTTTCCTGTCAAAAAAAAAAGGTTTGAAGAAGAATCCTAGTCCTGGGAGATGGATTTGGATTTCAAACGCCTCCAAGTCCCAGGGACTTTTCATGGAAACAAGGTTGCATTGTTTCCATGTTTAGCTTTCTAATCGACTTGGGGGCAGAAGTCATTTACATATTTGTGAGAACTTCGTGATTAGAAAATAAAAAATTATCCTTCTCTAACTGGATTGTTTCCAAAAAGCAGGGCTTGCATATTTTATGTACTTGAATATGGCTTGGCTGTATTGCCAGACTAAACAATCCATCTGACTTGTGAGGTATACGCTAGGTATAAACTAAAACTCATTAGTGGATTTAAGGTATAATATGATGCTGTTGTTTTTCAATTTCAACATAAAACAGACTGCTAAGCACAGGAAAATATTTTGGTATATTGCAATATTTCTAGTGGTATTCAGCTCGGTACCTAGAATAACACTGTGTCAGCCACACATTTGTAAGACTGCTACCAACAACTACCCTTTCTGTAAGGCACTCCACTACTTTCTATGGTTAAAATAAATGGAGAACTTTAACCTTCCACAAATACGAATAGGGAGACTTTTCAGAGGTTTCAACCCCACTTGACACTACGCATTCAGACCTCAAATTCTCAGTTACTCAACATTAAAAAGGCTTAGCTGGACTGGAACCAGGCTAAAGAATTCTTGACAACAAATTGATCTGTCAATTCTTATTTTTTCATATAGATAAACACCAGATGCTTAATGTGCATCGGAAAGCAGCCAGTGCACAATCTTGAAATTAGGGTATGAAAATGCTGTGGCAGAGCAGAAGAGGTACCTGCCATCTTTGGCTTGCTAGGACACTCTGAAATGCACATGGGAATTGTTCTTGTTGATAGTTCTTGACTCTTGGTGACCCCTTTTCTCTATTTCCAGTAATGGTCTAATGACCCAAGGACTTGAGAGCTCCATTTATCACAAAGGCTCCCTTTTGATTTCACCATGGCTCAAGAATATTCTCCCTGGGTACCCGGAAATATAATGCTTCTACCCTTCATCTGCAGAGCAGACATAAGTAGTACATAAAGCTTGGGAACACACCACGTATTTCTCAAGTCACTGTATTTAAGCTTATTACTACAGGAGGTGATACTCAAAGGCTTCTATGTAGGGTGGTTCTTCAGGTGGAAATAGGCAGGCTTTCTGGACTGAGTCATCATCTGCAGAACGCATAGAAGCCTTTGACGTTTTTCATGATCTTTTTGCAAGAATTTTCAGAAAAATTGCTGTTATAAACATTAAAACACAGCAATGCCAAGCTCTGAAGGACCTGACTATTCCACTGCAAGAGTTAGAGTAGAGTAGAGTAGAGTAGAGTAGAGTAGAGTAGAGTAGAGTAGAGTAGAGTAGAGTAGAGTAGAGTAGAGTAGAGTAGAGTAGAATAGAGTAGAACAGAACAGAACAGAACAGAACAGAATAGGATTCAGTTGGAAGGGACCTTCAAAGATCAAGTCCAACTGCCTGACTACTTCACAGCCAACCAAAAGCTAAAGCACAGTTGCCAAAGTGTGTCACTGCATGTGTGCATTTGGTATGCGTATCCATCAGTAAAAACAGTATTAATTTACAGTGCACTGTTTTTGACGCTGTTAAAAGTAGGCTGTTCCAACAAAGCGTGCCATAACCACAAAGCCTGTCGCTGTTCTGAAACTGTGTTGGAAGCAATCGTTGATGTGACTCATCACTACCACTGCCTAGTCGAAACATGCCTTTTGTCCTGATCTGAACTTGGACTGCTTTAGGAATTGGATTCTCTGACTTTTCTGAAGAGCTTGTCATTTTCCACACCTTGGAGATGAGTATCCTTGAGTGAACCTCGGGCACTGATGCTACGCATCAAGGCACATAGTATTCCCTTTTGGTTAACACTGGTGTAACATCTTACAGAGAAGCAGGTAGCTATCCTGCTTTGACTGAGGGATATCCAGGGCTTTTGCCTGTCGTTCTTGAGTGTCGGATTTTATCCGGATTTTATCTGAATCATACTGGTGACTGTGACCTGGGAGAACTGATATGAAGTAGATAATACTTGGTGGTTCACAGACATGACTGTTGGAAAAGTCACTGGTTTGGACTGGGATAGCACATACTGCAGAGGATTTGGAGCCTGTGGAACCAGACCATTCTCAGAAACCTTTTCTCCCTGCTGTTGTCAGTTTCTTTTCTGAGTGGCATAGCCTTAGCTCTGAGGGGTATCTGGAGCAGAAAGTTTAACATTTTTCACACTTTAAACTGTCCTTCCTTGCAAATATGATGCCTCAGGGGATGTTGCCTTTCTACTGAGAACTGTATAACAAAGATATTAATCATTCATTTTATACAAATTATGTTCCAACAATGACTCACAATTTCCCCAGCTAGTCATCCCTTATAAGACTGTGTTAAAGAGTTAATCATAACTGGCTTGGCGTATGCAAAAATCACTCAATGTTATTCTGACCAGAATTTCCCCTTGGGGAGTATGACATCTTGACACTGAAGCAGACATGTAAATCCAAATGTGTTGTTTCAGTATGAACCTAGAGGAAAGCACTGCTCTGGACACACAGCAGTAGTGACACAATAGCTCATGAAATATCTGTAGTTCTTCAGGACAGCTTCTGACACACAAGTGTAATGACAGCAAAACTCTCAGGAAAATAGAGGTCGCTTTTGAATGTAAATCCAAGATCCTGTTCCCATAATTAAACAGACTACAAACATTCACATTAAGTGGGCCAACCCATTATACGATTGCTTTCAGAGGTTTTTCAATATCATCTTCCTCCTTAATTGTCTAAAGGGAGTATTAATAGGTAATTAAAGATTTTTTTCCCTTGGAAAGAAAGACACTTGAATTATGGCTACTGATTTCAAAGGTTGTCTATATACATCATAGCACAAAATAAACTACACTAGTTTTTTTCTGAAAACATAACTGAGTTTCATGGTATAATTGGCAGGACCTACTAATCTTACAAAATTTTTACAAATGCTATATTCATGATTTAATACAATGCATGTATTAAAGTGTCAGAAAGGTATTTATACAAGCTATAAACTGTATGTTAAAACTGTAGCCAGAGTAACTGATGCAAATACATAAAGGTCTTTGCCACTCTACGTGTTCTGAATTCCAGAAGTCAATCTGCTGACTCAGACTTTTAGAAGCCAGGCAATGTGCAAAGAACTAAATTAGCTCCCCATATAAAAATATTTCATTGAGTGCTAAAATCACCTTCCGTTCTGAAACACCTTTGAAAAGTCTTAAATTATGAAAGTATAGGATGAGGAAAAGGTGGTCCTGTTGTTCACCAAATCCTGCAATACTGGGACAAAAGGGCATTCAACAAAACTAGTATTGATTTAAAACAGATGAAAAGAAAGTACATCTTTATGTAGCAGACTGTGAACTTTTTGAACTTACCACCCCAGGAGGT